CTGTATCTTAAAAACCACCCACTAACGATACATGATTAGAATACAGATAACTCGGTTTTCAGAAATGGTTTTATTATTTTTTGATCTGTTTAATGAATGCTTTATTTTCAGCTTTGGCCCTTCATGTGCGTATTCGAGTTGTGGATAAAATGTACTGTTGACAAAAACGAATACATGAAATATTATTACTTATTCTAGCAAAGGTGTAATGAAAAACTTCTAAATCCCCTACGATTTTCAGTGTTTGATTTTTGAAATATATGATATGCATGTACATAAAGGGTAAAATGAGATGTGTAATGAAAAACGAGACATCCCAAATATACCATATCTAAAGTGGAATCTTAAGATTGGAATACGATTTAATGCAAGCTTCGAAATTAAAAACAGTGTAGTGAATAAATTCCGCAGTAACAAAGAAGATCAATTGATAACTTCCAAATATAAATAAACAATCGTGTCTCTCCTGTTATCTTCATCATCAGAAATTCGAGATTTTCTATTAAATTTTTTTTACAGGAATTTTAGATTTTCTTATATTGTTCACATTTTTTGGCTCCAAACATCAGCAATGTGTAATTTTGTTTCTGTCAGGTTCCTTACAACAAGTTTTTATTGGAACGTTTGTGTTTCTTTAAGACAGTGCTATTTTCCCCCTTTCATGAATGTTCTCTTTATTTGTTTGAGTCGTCTTTCGACAGTTAACTCCTTTCAGAGTAACGATCTTTATATAAAAGTGTCTTTGCCAGGAATTATGAAAAGATAAAAAAAAGTTGTAAAATGTTTGTTTGTGACATTTTATGCCAATTACATTTCGTTATCTTTTTTCGTTGAAATATTGTATTTGTGTTCCAATGTACAGGGATTTGATATTTTCAGCAACGATAAAAAATATGATATGTCCTGACTTTATAAGTTAATATTCATAAAGGTTACATGAATTATTAATGGACGGTTTACGGCAGCCATCTAAATGATAACAATTTCAAATTAAGTTGAGAGTACATGAAGAAAGGACAAAAACAATTTTGTATTTTATGATAAACTTGTCTCATTAATGTCTATTCTGATTCAATTATTAATCATCAAATTTCAATATTTTATTGCAAATAATAATCATAAATCAGTAAAAGGCATTATCATACTACATTGTATCAAAAGCTGAATTTTCTATAGTAGGAGTATAGGTTGATTTATTTAACCGTTTACTGAAAATAATGTTGAATACGAGAGGTAGGGCTAATGGTAAAATGTTTCTGCTTCAATGTTGTACAATCTAAATTCAAAATCCTGTTCACTACAGTTAGCCAAACACGTATTGATATACTCATACTGACCGAAAAAATCTGTTTTCAGGGTTTGACAGCAGCTCTCTATCCAGATCAACCCAGCTTAATCCTTGCCAGCAACGGGGCAGAATGCATTATGATATCAAAGAAATTTTTCTTGGAAAAATGTAGTGAAGAAGCCTTACGCAATATCAATAAAATAGTAAGTGTCATATTATGATTTTGATTGAAAGTTTTGTAATCAATATACATGTAATCAAAACCACAATGGTAAAATGCTATCGTTTGTTCATTGAACTTCTTAAACTTTAAATTTCAATTCATTATGAGATATAAGTCTTTAATAAACAAGCTTAGTTGCTTACATCCATGGTCCATGGTCTGTGGTGGATAGTTGTCTCTTTGGCAATCATGCAACATTTCAACGTTTTTATATTTTATATTTGTCCGTGACATATTTTTGCGAAATTAACTTTATGAAAGAACTAGAAATGACAAATCATTAAAATTCTGATTGCAGTTTTCCTCGTTATCAAATATTTGGATTCATAACACAAACTTATTCTATGTTCTGTTAATGAGACGTTGTGTTAGGTCTGTATTAAATTATGAATATACAGCTTAAAAAATATGTTTAACAAAGCTATTGGGAATTGGATGCGTGCAATTAATTTCCGAATTTCGTCGAATTCAAGGTCGTAGAAGGATGTTAGAAATTTACTTTCTTGTTTAGTATTCATATTATATATCTACATTTATTTGCATATACTAAGATCTAAATGTAATTCAATTTTCTGTATGGTCCTTTTCTGAATTAGAAATGGAAGCAATAACAAAATATATTTATTTTAGGAATCACCTTTCCCAAACGACGAGGATCTACAAAAACGTTTACAAGAATATGTCAACTGGACGTCGCACCGGAAACAGATTTATAACTCTTTAGTTAAAGACATTCATTTTAAAAAGGCGAAACGCATGCAGAGATTAAGTGGACAATTATTGTCATTTAGGCCTGTTTAAAAAGATTGTTATATCTTACCATAATTGTTACATTTTAGCAATAAAAATGTTTTAGTAGAAATCGTTAGTTGCGACAAAATGGTATTTATCTGAGGTAGCAAACTGTACAAATTACTAGGTTCCGGTATGAAAGTGATGACTGTGTGATTATCGATTGTTCACTTAAGGTTGATACTCACGGCAGTTATCATTTCAGCAACACGGTCGGTTGCTTAAAAGAGCATATGCAACAATTTTTCTTTACATTTGATCGATGGGTGGGTCTTTAGCGTCCGGTGGCAATAATCGCATGCATATTCAAGACGAGAACATTTTAATGTGATATGAATGTGAACCCTGCTCTATACTATAACGATAAACTGAGCATGTTTTTAAATGTGCTAGTTCACAAGATCACAGGTCGCAGGGGAACATATCTAACCAAAAACAGGGCAGCTTTTGGACAGAATGCTATAAAACTGTTATGGTCATAGTCTTTAAAAACCTTCTCAACATTTTATGTTTTTTTTATTCGTCTTTTATACTTGTAATACTTGTTAGATCGTATGATATTTTATTAACCAGAGCTGCTCATAAAATTCACACAGGACATTAGTTTCTCCTTCGTCTCTCGCTGAATATTTGCAATACTAATTGCCCATAAAATATGTTTAATTATCCATTTATATATTTACTGCCTTTAGACAGCAATATCTGAGAAGAAAATGACTTTTTGCTTAGATGTTAATAACATTGTTTACATCCTTAGAAAGTTGTAAAGTTCTCTTGTAAGATTGGAGTAATTATGTCTTTCCATGAACATTTATTTATTAATCTGAAACTGTTTTTAAAAGACGCGATTGCCTCTCAAGACAACTTTAATGTAACTATTAGAATGAATAAGGGTGAGATTAGCGAAAGGTGAAGTAAACGTTATTGGAGGTATTTCGGAATTTTATGAAATTATTATACATTTATAACTCGTTGCACTGTCACTGCATATGAAAAGCATTTATACTTCTGGAGAAACAATGTTTTAAAAAATTGTGAGATAGATCAATAAATGAAAAGAAAGTATGAAAAGCGGTGAAAATTCATGTTTTGCACTTTCAATTGAGATTTCTCGACAACGTTGTCATCGTCGTCTTCCGTTAACTTTTACAAAAATCTTCTTCTCTGAAACAAATGGGCAACCAAATTTGGCCCGAATCACCAATTTGGAATAGAGTTTAAAAAAAAAACAGATAGAGAGAAACTTAAAATATATATAGCAAAATTATCAGCAAGACCAGATGTACAAATAAGTCAAAATGACCGAATTCCTCAGTCAAACTAAGGAGTTATTGCCCTAAAATGACGATTTTTGCCAATTTGTTGCGTTTTTGCCTATTAATTTGAAAACATAAATTATCAGCAAGACGAGATCTACAAATAAGTCAAAATGACTAAATTCCTCTATCAAACTAAGGAGTTATTGCCCTAAAATGACGGTTTTTACCAATTTTTTGCATTTTTGCATTTTTGCATACTAGTAGCTTGAAAATTACAAGTTTAGATATAAAAAATAATCAACAAGACAAGATCTACAAAATAGACAGTCAACATTGCCGATATCCTTGATCGCCTCCTTATAAGAGTTATAACCCCTAACTTGCGATAATTACCAATTTCTTTCATTTTTGACCCTTACTAAAGTAGATAAAAAGAAAACTGTTACTAGAAATAATGATCAGCAAGACAGGATCTGCAAATAGATGAAATGACCAAAATTGCCAGCTATCGACTCCTAATAAAATAGGAGATTTTTAAACCAGACTGAGTTTTTAATTTTGATTGTTGTTAGAAAAGGTGCTAATTGGCCCTATTTCTTTTTAGATAAAGAAATATCTATAAATGTAACAGATGGCGGATGCAATGTGATTGCAAAATCTTGCGCTACCTTTTGAGGCAGGATAAACTAAAAATAAGTCCTTAACCATTTGTAATTCCGAAAAAGGATATTTGTCTCTGAACTTATTACAAGAAACTTAGTTGCGGCTACCTTAGCTAACTTCCTGTAGTAGCAAGCATATTTTGCAAATTGTGTGCTCTCTTCTATTTTCTCGTTCAAATTTAATGATCATCTGTTGATAGGCAGGTTTGTTTATGTGTGTTTTACTTTGAGGACAGATACACAAAGAAGAACTTTCTGTCTACCTCCATACATTTCTAATTTGTCTGAAAAAGCAAATTTCAGGCTACTTCTTTGTTTTTATAGCAAACGTACGTAGGTTTGCAATGTTAGGCAAATAAAGGAAATAACTTGTCATTTTTTTCTGAATGGATACCAATTTGAATTCTTCCTCAAATCTGGAATCTCAAATGGTTACACATATAATATAATTTGTTAAATATTTGCTTATTTATGGTATGAATGAAATAGACTTCAGAAATGTCTTTAAAAATATTTTTCTATGTAAATTTTCTCAGTTTATTCCAAAATTTACTTGAATAATCCCAAGGAACATCCATGTTAAAAAATCCAAAGATATTTGGATTCATTTGGGGCTCTGATAATACTTCCTTATTACTTTATCAAACACGTATTTTGGTATTATCCCGTAATTGCAATAGTATTTATCTGATAATAAATCATTGCATGTATATAATTTCACCCTTTAGTTTCGGTTATGCCTTGCAATTGAATAATATAGAAGACACCATTTTGTTCACAATTTTAATAAAAAATATAAATAAAACAAAACACTGATTGAAGGAATAACAACAATTTTGTCTTATTTGAAATACAATTTTTCGTATTTTTGGCACCTACAAACTCATCCAGTAAAAATTATAGATTAAAAACAACATTTTAATTTTGTGTTTCAAGCTAATATTTCTTATAACAATTAAAGTCCAAACTCATAGAGACTTCAGTATATTAATAAGTATATACAGTAGCATCAAAACAAATAAAAAAAACATTGTCAATCATTATGGCTTTCTTTTAGAAACAAAACAAAACTTAAAAAATGTACTTAGTATTCAACTTAAATACTTTCGATTTTTGAAGGATATAATTGTAGTTATGAATTTAGAAGTATCACAATTATCACGTGACATATTTACGATTGTTGATATGCTTTGCTCCGAGATATTAAAGTTTACAGTGCTGAAGATCCTAACCAAATTGTATTGTATATATGTAATTAAGGAGGTGTGGTATGATCGCCAATGTATCTCTCCACTAGAGACCAAGTGATGTAGAAGTTATAACTGCTATAGGTCACCGTATGACCTTCAACAGTGAGCAAAACCCATATACCGCATAGTAAGCAATAAAAGGCCCCGAAATGACAAATGTAATGTATATTGAAGCTATTAATCCAAATAATCTTGTTGTATTTACCAAACTCCTTTTTGTCGTGTTGTTTTCATATATTTACGTGATGGCCATTCCTTTCTTTTCTCTCTTGTCCTTCACAATACCATCATTACCACGCATATCTCATTCTAAATAATCTACTACATGTCTGATAACTTCCGTGCTTACTTGTTATTGTGTCTTTAAATAGATGGTATGGGTTGAAAAACCTTATAGTTTAATATATTTTAATGTAAAGAGGAATGAAAAACAAGTCTCTGGCAATACACATTTAACAATTGCCAAAGATTTAATTTGAAAATGTATTTATACATCATTCAAAAAATAACTTTTAAACTATTGTATAGACCTAAGTATGACTCCTTTTAGATTTTTTTTTCATTGAATTTAAAAAATTTGAACCCTCATGTAAATTAGTTTAGTAAATACGACCAGTTTTGTTAATAAGGGGCAAATTGCGATACAATTTTGAAATAGGACATCCTCTGGAGACCAATTAAAAGAGTAAAATGTTAAAAAAACGATTGAATAACTGACCTCAATCGATTTAGTTCAATGATGATATGGACTATTTGATTTATAAGGAGATATTGTTTTGTCAACGGTGAGACTTTCAACGATAACTAACAATTGAGAATAGCAAAGTAGATAAAAATCCACCTTTCACCACTTACGACTTTCAACGGCAAAACAAATAATACTACAGAAAACAGTGATAGCCTTAAGATCAGGCCTCTAAGCGCCTATGGACAGCACTGACACATAATAACATCTATTTTTCTCCTTCCGTCTGTTTTATAAAAAAAATGTTGTACAACTCAGTTTATACATATTTTCTGTTGGATGTGCTCTGATATGTTAAACAAGTTAGTGATAATTGTCCTTGACTATGTACATAAATAAGTTATTCCAGTCTCGGAAACAAAACATCTTATTAGGTAGAACATAGTCATTCTGTATATCATGTCCTTTATAGATCGATTCTAAGGAAACATAAAATTGACAAGGCAATTTCCATAGATATTAGATGTTTAACTTTAAGCTATTAGATAATTCGATCTGTGTGTTTCGATATTGTCATTGGCAGCTTTGATTTATATCTTTGATACAGTTTTACAAACCTAATTTTAATTTCCCATTTCTGGTAAACTTATGTACAAAACTAAACTTCATTTAGCTACGTAATAGGATATGCACATTTCAGTATATGATGCAGAATATGTCTTATTTATAAACTTCCGGAGATGCCATCAGTTTATGAAGCCTTACCGGAAATAACATCAACACATGAAACCACAAAAAAGTTACAAGACTGACAGGCACAATTTACCAGAAACATTAATGTATCGATCGCCATCAATTAAGTTACTGATGACAACGGATTCTTTTCAATAAATACGACTTTGTGATTATAAAAAAAATTATAAATTTCATTTAAAAATGTGAAGATTCCTTAAACAACAGAATAACAAACCCAATAATAAGGCAACGAAGTACATAATTTAGATAACCAGTTCACTGAATGGTGCATTTGGAGTTACCAGTATTACTCGCAATGAGAGACCTTGATGTGCTACCTCGCATTTGCGCTGTAAGTAAATCAGTTCGTATGCTTGGCCTTCGAGCATTAGGCGCAATTGTTCCACAAGCCTCCGACAGACGACGGCGAATTGAAAGGCTCTTTCTACTTGTGGTTTCATCATCGATTACACCTGGATGTACTTTTCTGTGTAAAGAGGGACTCATCTCGGCGGGCATTTTTGCTAAGGTGAACAACCTAATAAACGCTTCTTCGACGTTTACGTTCTTCTTTGCTGATGTTTCTGTGAAACTGACATTAGTATACTGTCGAGCAAGCTCTTCTCCTTCAGATGAGTCTATTTCACGATGTTTTTCCCGATCACATTTGTTTCCGATGATTACCATTGGAATACATATTTTAGGTGCAATTCGGGTTCGACATTGTCCTTTGATCTCATAGATTTGTTGACAAAGTCTTGTCACTTCGTTGAATGATTCTCTGTCACAAATGTCATACATCAATAAGAAGATATCTCCTGAAAAAAACAAGAAAAAAAAAAATATTACCAAAAGATTTAAACCACTCACAACGCAGAGATTACCATATGCACGGCCGAAAGATGCAAGTCAACTTTGAACTTAAAGAAAAAATAAACAATTTCAAACTGAAAAAGCGTAAAGGTATAACAATATGAACTAAGTTTATTTTTTTTGAACCGCTAATTTCAATCTACCAAACTGACTTTGAAACATAACAACAGTGCAGAAATATTCCAAATGTATAGATGCGATCGTCAAATGACATATGCCTTTACACAAATGGAAATTTTAAACAAATATAAAACTAATTTGCATCTCTCAGTCTATGTTATTAACTTAGTTAAGAGAGTACCCAACTGGTAGCACATTGAATTGTAAGTTCAAGAAAATAACGACAAAGAAATAAAGAGAGAATTTGACAGCGTAATATTATATTGTCATTACTGTCTTCTAAAATCTGTGACATATATATCAATCAAGATAGAGATGAACTTAAGTGAACCCGAAATCTGACATCCATGTCTGATAAATCATTGGTTCCTCAGACAAGATAAAGTACAATTGTCATAGGAGTTGTACGCAAAATAATATAAGATTCTAATGAAGACGCAGGTTTCGTTAGTAATGGTAGCTGTGTCTGTCGTCTGCTTGATGACTTTCTACAGAAATAATGAATTTCACAATTGGTATATCCATCCTTTTGTACGACGACCGTTATTTCAACTTTTACTGACACTTTCATTAACTTTCTTCATTTGATCTTAATAATCTAATCAAAAATCACCATGCAGAACAGACAGACTACAAATGTTAAGATACATGCTAGAAGTATGCTGCAACATGTTTATTGAAAGATTATTAGTTACGTGCAGGCGGAAAATACCAAGGGAACATTCAAAATTCATAAGTCGAGATGAACTGACTACACCATGGTGAAAAACGAAAGGCATAGAAGGCACCAAAAGGCAAACGATTCCACAAAAAACTACGAAGAAAACTTAAGACTGAGCAGCAGTGATCTGGGGTGGTTTCAGATTCTCCGGAATGGTAAGCCAACTTTGGCAGCTGGTAAACTTAAGACTGAACAGCAGTGATCTGGGGTGGTTTCAGATTCTCCGGAATGGTAAGCCAACTTTGGCAGCTGGTAAATGATTATAAAAATCATACGAAGTTCGGTCTGAGTAAAAAACAGGATGCTCAAACTGTCATCAGAATTAGACACGAGTATAAGAGGACAAGTTTATAATTTAAATATAGGTCATGAGTTTAAGATGGTATGTTCATGCTGTGAGCAGATTAAAGATTTAAATGGAAGATGTCAATTAAATTCTAAGCACTGTTGTGGTTTTCGAATAAACAAATCAAGATTAAAAATTAACGGATGAAATGGTGGTAAGATTAATACTTCAGTTATTGCAGATTGAGTGTACGGCTGCTTGGTCATAAACTCAACAAATTATAAAAGCATACTGTCAATAAATTTAAAATTTGAGTTATATTGTCTAAAGATTAAGCGATTGATTTTGTAAAATGGCACTATCACACCAGTTTATAATGTTTGAATGTAAGCTATCAGTAGTGTACGATTGAGTGCTGATTGTACGGCCATAATGTCAGGAGAATAAGTGTAAGATTTTAACTTCATATTGTAAGTTGACTTAAAAGTTTGAGTTCAGTACTTTCAGGATATTTAGAAGTTAGTGTTATTTGAAACTAACATTATGAAACAAATTGAAGGAAAGAATGGAAGATGGAATGAAAAGATGATAACAGTAATTATAATAAGAGTTTAATTGTAAGATGGCATGGTCACATCTATGGCATATACTAAGAGTTTAAGTATAAAGTGGCATACTCATTGTGTCAGAAGATTAAGGAGCTGTATGAAAAATGCCTGACTAAACTGTCGCTAGGTGCTAGGGTTGACTGTACGTTGGCATAATCGAACATTATTTACATTTAGGCTTTCAGTGGCGTGAATGTGAATGATGATATTGTTGGGTGATTTAGTAGAGTTTGACTGCAAAATGGCAGGATCCGATTGCCACCAGGTTAAGGACCTGGGTGAAATATTTCATAATTATATTGTCCGCGGATTTAAAGCTCAGGGGCTCTTTTCACAAAAAGATTTACAGTAAAAAATGATTGTAAGTTAAACTGAAATGTTCATGACTTACACTTACCCTGTCGACACACCCATTCTCGCTCCTTTAGGTGTTTAAGTGGTTCCCTCAGTTTTTATTAGGTTAGTTTATTCTTTTTAATGGATTTATGAGATTTGTACATCGGTAAACTACTTTTGCATCTAATTTAAATTAGTATGAGACGACAGTTTATAGGAATGAATGTATCTGAAACAAGGATGATACCAATGAAAGGAGTTGGTAATCAGAAACAACAAGCCGGAAAAAAGACCATCAAATCAACAAACAGTTAAAATTTTAGTAACACCGAGGATGAACTGAGGTTCTCTGGAAGGGTTAGCAGATCCTGTTCCACTGGTGACGCACTTGGTAAGTTTTTGTACTTGCGTGTACTACATTTTAATCGACCAATCCTTCAAAGTCTGAATTTTACTTTACTTATATATAGTGTTAACCAGTATTTGAAATGTACTAATAACTACTTAAGCCACTTAATGCATTGTTGACAAATCTTGAAATAGTGTGAACTGTAACTACCCTTATTTCAACAATACTTAAACAAGTCTAACTAGTACTTAGTTGCACTGAACTGCACACGGCCATGTCTGAACCACTCTCAAACAAGTTTGAAACATGCTCGAAGATTTCGAATTGATCAAATATGTTCTTAATACAGCCCAGACTAGTATTATGGTACAATTCAGATAGAAATGGTATACCTTGCATACTACAAATGATTCTTGAATATCCTCCATAAGGTACGCTTGGCAAAAGGTTTAGAAAACCAAGGTTAGCAAACAAACCAATATCCCTAAAGAGAACAGTCAGAGCCGCCTAAGGTCAGTTTTGACTACAGGAGTTGCAACCTTAGCTTAAGCACAAGTACACCCTTTTGTCACAGATTGCTTGATACTGATAGCTTAATGTTGCGTTGTGAATATTTCACACATATTAAGGACAAGAACAAATTAACAACAAATCTGATAGGTAGGCTCTGCCGTGGCCTCTGCAAAGAGGTATGGTCGAATTTGTGTTAAAAAATTTTGGATGTCACTGAAAATGTGGGTATATTTGATAGGGACACAGCTTTGACCTATCTTAGGCAACCTACAGACCAATCTAAGAGTTATTGCAAGGGTTCTTCGGAGAAACAGAGTGTGGGATTTTCTCGAGACATCGGACCTTACAGTCATATATACGGCCCTCTTTAGCATAGGTTGTACTGCCGGATGGGAGAATTATCTCAGTCGACCCTTTGGGTTTTATGAACTAGAAATTACCAGCATAATTGACTAAAATTATACTTTTCCAGTCTGGTCAAGTAGGACAAAAATATCTAAATTATAACTCTTTTCGGTTCGAAACTATTATATTATTTCTGTTTTACCGCGGTAACATAAAAAGTTGCCAGCCAAGTCGACCATGAAGGAATAAAAATTTGAAACATTTGTCAAGGGGAGTATAAATCTTCCTTCGCTATATATTCTGATATCAAAAACATATTCAGAAAATATTTAACTATACTAGATTTTAGAAAAAACAAGTATCGGAACTCATTCCTTTACCAACATCGAAATTTTTATAAAATTTACTTAACTGAATACGATTTCGACGACAACATACGACCTGACTGATATTAGTGGCTGAAATGTACTAATAATTCATATCCCAAACAGCAGCTGATTTATAAAACTACAGGAAATAAAAACCCTCAAATTGGAAGAACATGATATGTTCATCCCTATAATTGGAAATGTCGTGCAAGTGTGTGTTTATTTCAATAAAAGAAACTATAATATCTTTGGTTCTTTCGTCAGATAGATACAAAATTAAGAGTCAAATATAATTTTACAGGATGTAATTAATTCAGGATTCCTTGTGTTACGAGCCAGAATCGGGGATTATATCATGATGATATAGAAATTAAATTCCAATCTTCAAATAGATTTCCTTTGTATCGAATAGCTTTTGACTCCATTACAATGCCTATCATGGAATATTATAAAATTACCGAAAACCATGAATTTTCAGTAAGTTTTTGACTACTCAATTCAGAAATAATTTACATTTCCAATGAAATGGATCTTCGTGGTTCATTCTAGTCACGTTCGAAGAACATACATACACACGAGTTGTTTACTTATATAATGATATACATGTGAACGATATGTTTACGAGTTAACCCATTTTTTTCTAATAATAACCAATCACTGATAAAAATAATTTGTTATTAACTTTGTCATCATTCCAATACTATTACTAATACTTATTATCAGAAATAAAGATTCCTTAACTGCATGATTGTATTATTTTTTTTGCATTATTTTTAGTAATAAACAATGAATATTTAATGAAAAGATAACTCCAATAATTAAAGCAAAAAAGTGTTAAACTAACTAAAACAGTTTGAAATATATTATGTTTTATATATTGAAATTATGCTGGGTATGATTTTCAATATGCCTGACTTTCTAGTAGATTGAATTTAATCAGTTATAAATTTAGTCATTAAAATATTTATACTTGGCTATAAATTGAAAGTTAGAAGAGATTCCGCACGATCCAATATGACAGATCTTCCCCGTGGAATACAAATCTAACAAACTTATATGTATACTATTAATTTGTAAGAAGATTTCCCTATGTTTATATTCAATGTATTGATTACTCCCGGATAGGTTATTTCAATAACATATATAGCGGCTGTCAAGGAATGTCAAAAAGTACCGCTATGTTGACACTAGGGTCATGTTAATATTACTTCAATGTGTGAGCTGTTTAATTCACCGTTAACAACGTTTAATGCAGAACAACGATATAAGCTCATCTTTTATATATTGGCTGTTTCCTAG